AGTGTATGTCTATTGGCGCGACCACTTTGCTAATGACGTGTGAAAACATGTTAGGCACAGGGCACATCATTGGTTGGGGATTTTAGTCAAGTCTGTACGACCCCCCCCCCCCCCCGGGGATTCCCTCAACAACGATGTGTTCTGGTTAGGCAAATTCGCATCCCAGGTGAGGCAACTCGTCCGGAATGTAAAACTAGTACACTTCTCTGAGGCAGTTCAGACTTCGCGACTGCAGCGCTCCGGTCGTACGTTCGACGCGGTCGATGCGTCGGAAGCATGCGCGACCGAAGCGCTGCCGTCGCGAAGTGTGGACGCTGCCTAAACCATTAGATGGCCTGGCTGAGAGACATGAGCAGCGCACCCAACACCGCGGCTTTATGTAGTGTAGAATCGACCAGGATCGACCTTCTCTTAATCTTGGCATTGTTGTATCTTCAAGCAGGTGGATAGTTTGAGCCGTCCAAGATTTTTATAATTTATTGGCCAACGTTTCGGCTTCCTCGCCTTCGTCAGGGCCTGAAGAAGTCCAAAACAATTGAGATTGTTCCCTCGAACGCCCCACAAGAACATAAGACCATTTCGATATCCTAGCAAACCCTCTAGCGGTATAGAATCGATAAAAGAGCTGGCTTACCTTGATCTCAGCCGCAATGATCGACCACCCAAGCTGCAGTACAACTAACAATGAGCTTACACCTCTACTCCGCGACCTCATTGTAGATCAAAAACCACATAGGTCGGCGAAGGGCGCGAGTTCACGTGTTATGACTACACATTCCTCTCTCCTGTTCATCAGGGGGTCTTTTGCTGAAATCCACAGCGCTTCCAAGGTTTTCCGCGCAGCGACTTCAGGACCGCGCAGGTGGACGATTCCAGCTCCTGTGCTAGGATGGACACAGTTACCTGGAATTCTCAATCTCCATCACACTCAACCCGATGGGAATAAAGTGGCGTCCGAACTTGTGATCTTCGCAAGCCGTCTAAATGTTCTTTAACTCCAACTCGCAAAGGACGGCCCCTTTCCCCCTAGATATTCACTGTCACATGCGAGGCAGCGAATTGAATAAATCACCCGGACTTCATGCAATCACCTGCTCTACCGGAGGGGCAAACCACACATTCCGCGGTACCACATGAATAGTCATAAAGGCGATTACGTACGAGGAGACGTTTCAAGTTGTTCGGGGGTATTTCCACCAGTCTAACGTCTTCTTGCAGACCACATCTTTGCAGACTCGTACGGATCGCCCGGCTAACTTCTTCCGAGATGAACGGCCAACAAAATGGTACTTTTTCGGAAGATGTCACGTTTGTGACCCCGCGTTGTCTGTAAAATCCAGTACGTAGTGGTCGCGACCCTGGATAACCGTTAGATATCGCAATCTTTCGTGCTAAATCGAGCGATTCTTGCTCCAATGCGACATCAGAGGTAGGTAGTTTATGTACTGTATTGCCATAAACTGCGAAAACCTCGAAATTCAGTGATGCGGACGAGTTATGCAGCGTGCGACACATGTCATTACCTGTTAAAACCCGTACAAGGGTTATGTGATTGCGCCAAACGATCAGCTTCCCTCTGGGGCGCTAATTCAGTGAGGCGGGACATTTAGTGGTAGAGCTTCGAAGAAAATAGTATGAGGTGGCCTCAGGGCAAGAAGCACCACTGTGCATGATCGTGCGTGAAATAATTTTTTCCTCCATAAAAAATCGTGGGTTCCAATTCCTTGAGTCAGTAGTGTTCACCTTGTTGGAATAGTATGGTTCTGAGATGTATGAAACTCCATGAAAGGAACGATTCGACAGCGTTGTTCTTCCAGTGTTGAATCTATTCGCTCATCGAAGCGCGGTAATTCTAGTGAGCACTTGCCGTCGGTTAGCGTGGACTACAATCCGTAACCGGTCCTGCTTTCAGGTCGTCGCTTTGTCGCCTGTGATCATTGATGCCTTGGGCAGACTCTCTTTTGCGCCCCCATACCCTCCGGTCTTTGGTCAGAAATTTGGCTTTCATGTTCCGGGAAGCTGCACGGACCCTCCTAGTCAGCCCGAAGCCAACAAAATTTTTTTCCGAATATCAGCAATATGAATGTTGTCAAATATTTCCATTGCATTAGTTTCCCATGGTGGAGAGCAGGAATCGATAGTGATGCCAACAGCACTACATTTACTGCCGATGTCATCACATATGATTTAATTCATTTCACGAACCAGTTATACCGAAAACGACAATTTTGTTCTATTTCAGTCTTCAAGCATTTCAGCAGTTTCTTTTTCCTAGTATATTTTTTCCATTTATTTATTCTTCATTGTAATCGTTGTAGTTCCTTCTCATATTTACTACTGCACTCCAATACAATATAAAAAACTTCACTTTGCTCCAGATATGGTTTATGCGAGACAAAATCGAAGAAACGATAATGAACGGGAGGGAGAGAGTCCTTGCCTAAGCCTAGGGAACGAGCTGATGGTAAACCAATGAGAGCAACCTCTCCGGGATTTTATCAGACTGCGTTCATACTCCGCGTCAGCGTCCATCAGCATTCAGCAGCGTTTTCGCGGGCATTTTTGCTCAAGTTCAAAAGTACTCGTGAAAACGCTGCTGCATGTTGCTGGGCGCTGGCGGACGCTGGATCGATACCCATACTTAGTTGCTTGAGACGCTGGTGAACGATGGCGGACGCTAACGTCAAGTATGAACGCATCCTAGAGATCTTTTTTGCTATCGTTTATGTGTATCTTTTTTGCATAAAGGAAGTTTGCATTGTTTCTAGATGCCTGAACCAAAATTTCCCTGTATATTCTACTAACGCCGCTAATCTATAATGCTACTTTCAACAGCGATTTTTGCATGGAACGTTCAATAATTCACACTTTTGTTTATTGCTAACTCTTGGCAAAGTTACAATTTGCCACATGATGTTGACAACTGATCCTGGCACCTTACTTTTCTCAATACTCGTTTTTGGCTCGCCTCGTAGTCGTGCCCACACTAATTTCTGCTACCTTCGTTTTGTCATTGAATATCTTTGAATTGAGAGTAGAACGTTTTGGCCACTACTGGGTCTGCCTAAGCAGAGGAGATACCGTTTAATCAGGTGTTCAAGTAAGCTCGAATGATGGCGACTGGTCTTAGTAGGGAACTCTTTGTTTTTTCCTCAGGACAGCTTATTTGATCTCAGCTGGGTTCAATTGTACCTTCTGTCCACGTTTTCGTGACGTTTTCGTTTTCGTTTTGTTCTTCGTTTTTTTTTGTCGTTTGTCTGCCATTCTTATCGGTAAGGTTTGCGGCTTACATCGTTACCATAGGTAATTCACTTTTCAGGTGATGACTGAAGTTGGGAACGACGATCAGCTTCGGCAGCGTCGCCCTCATGGTCAAGCAGAAGATGTGCGGCCAACTAGCGATGAAAGTGACAGGATGAGGAAAGGTTCGTCCCCATATAATCACATTTGGCGCAGGTCGGTTTAGGGGGAGGGGTAGGGGGGGGGTCGCTTTCGCTGCTTCCCATCGTCGTGTCGAGCCATCGAAGAGAGATATGAGAGTCTGATGAGGGCAGGGAGTAATCCAGTTAAAGTTTGTAGAAACTGTTTGCCAATTCTTTTGGAGGAGTAATCACAACGACGGGAAGCATCGATTGCGCAAAAAGCCCCTCCCCTAAGCAGAACTGCGCCCGCATTTTGTAAGGTAGAGATTTTATGCTGAATATTTTGGTTATTGGCTACGCTTTACCTCCACTTTGTCCGAAGGTTGGGGGCACTTTTACACAACCATTTATGACGCCATAAAAACTTCTCGCAACTCCCTCCATAAATCGTTTGCAAGATATAAAAGGCGTATTCGAGCCCGCTATTTCAAAGCCAATCATGCAGTTAATATTCCACTCCGAGTGATAATGAATATCCGTGGATCCTTTCCTTATCGCAGCCACTGAGCCACTGAAGGAAGCCTACGTTCACTTTTTGCGGCAAGGGAATAGGAGAATTGGTGGATCGACGTTTTAGGAGATTGCGCACCAAAGGAACGCATGGGCATTAGTCAGCCCTGGTCACCAGCAGTGGAATGGCCGTTCTCCTGAATGTCCATCCATTTTGTCCGAAATACAAAATCGTACCTATACTCTAGGCGCACTTCGCATTGCCGCTTCACCGATTCTCCTGTTTCCCCGTCGCAAAGTGTAAACGCAGCCGAAAGGTGATGCAGAATTTTAGCAATGTGCAGATACTACTGACATGGAAAGCTACTTTAATAGCCAGGGTGCAACAGTTCCAGCATACAACAGGGACTGCCGCTTTAGCGAGTGCGCGTGCATGTGGCACATAACGCGCCCAGCATTTTCGAACATTTATAGAACATTTACTTACAGTGCATTTACACTTTGCGTGAACATTTTTAGCGTACACCAGCGTCGGTAGTGTTTGGAACGACTAGAAAAGTATAGGTATCGATTTAGCGCTTCGGTCTTACGCGGCAGCATTTTCAGCGATTGTCGCGAGAAGGTCAAAACTACCCGCGAAGAATAAAAGACTGGCGTGCGCTCAAAGCTAGATTGATGCCTGTCTATTCCTAAGCGCTAAGAACGCTTAAACTGCTGACACAAAGTATGAACGCAGCCTCACCATTTTGCTCAACAAGTGCGTCATGTTGGGTCTTCCACTTGGATTTTACGCCTTTTGCCCCTTTATTTCTTCCAGCCTACATTTTATAATTGTTCACTATCGTCTCATCGCTACAACCGTTTTTCAGCGATGCGACCTCGAAGCAGTCCGCCCAACGTAGCTCGTTAGTGATAAGTTGTTTTGTGGTGGTAGTGTATGTAATAATATTTGTAAAGTGTGATTAACGTTTGCGTTTCGTCGGGTTAAGGGTTTCTATCGAAGATTCTCTTATGTTTTTGTTTATCCCCTATTTTTATGTTGACTCTTTACAATTTTTTTTGCTGAAGTCATTGATTCACTTCAGAATCTCCGGATTGATAAAAATCATCCCTCAAGATACTGGAAGTATGGGTGAGCTGGTGGATTCAGTGCTAACTCCTTTACCACCCAGGTATGTGTTTCTTGCACTCTCGAGTATTTACCCTTGCTCTTGGTCATTAGCGTTCATTTCTCCTCTTCGAAAAGTCAGACAAATTATTCTCAAGCGTTTCGTAGCCTTCGTAGCAGCCTGCGATTTCTGGGGGCCTAGAGAGCTCCTGGGTGAGTAAGCCGCTCGGGACATTCCAATATGTAACATATGATTGTATGATTGGTAGATCACCCAGCTTAGAACTTCACCACCCCTCAAAGATTGTACGGTACTATAGCATAGCACGGACGCAAAATTGTCAACAGGCCCTTCCCATGGCCCGCAGAGGTTTTTTTTTATGTTTTCACCGGAGTGTTTCAGATGGCGGAATTGGGTTGTACGTGGAGTGTTCACAATAATCATGGTTTCAATGTTCTCATTCATAGTGAGCAAAGGACCGACATGGTTAATGGCCCTGGTGAGTGTTTCCCTTAAAGCGCATTCAGGCTTCGCGGTTCGCTCGCGCGATTCAATCGCTCGATCGATCACGCGATCGTGAAGCATGAACGCGCTCTTATGGGTTTTTAGTGTAGAAAATAATCAACAGTTCATTTAAAGGTCTTTGCAATTCAATTCAAATGCTTCCATGAAATTATCAGCATTGGGCTAGCCGTTTACCGCATGTATGATTTCCCATGGTTCCGTTTACTATCATGGTCAGTTTGTTTCCAATTCCTTTATTTTTTTCTCCTTTTAATTTATTTTTTCTTCCATGCTCCGTAATTTTCTTCTCATCGCAGAGATTTCAATTGCAAACTTTTTGTTCTTCGCAGTGAACCAGGGCAGTGGCAAGCTTCTGGCTTGTTGTTCTTTTCCACCGCTGAACTCGAAACTTACTGTGCCAGCATAGAACAGTAGAACTGTTTCCCAATGGGATTATGTATAAGTGGAATTCTAGTTTTTTTTTCATAAGAACGCCGAATCGCAAAATTTACATATTTTATTCCATTTTTTTAATTTTTTTCATTTACTAAGCGGTTCTCGTGGATCGTTTGTTGTGTGTTAAAGAGAAACGCCAAAATTGCGTGTGGTGGATAGTGGCGTTCAGTTACAGACTCATAGTTTTTATGTGACTCCTCATCGGCACCCTCTCTAGACGAAATCTCTGGTCTTGCTCGTTTAATGTCAACTGAGGACTTTTGATGCCAGCTGAGGGATCTTGAAGCTTCTGGGTCACTTTTCTTGAGGTCATTCGATGTTAATAACATCTAAAAGTGGGGAAAAAACGAAAAACACGGTGTAAAAACTGCTCGTGACTGAAAAGAGCCTGTGAATTTGGTGGGTGGGGCAACTGGGGAGGTGTCGGAACGGCTAATTATGATAACTGCAGCGGCTTCGTTACTTACTGTGAAGCCGCGAAAAAGAGATAATGTCAGAGACTGCGTACCAGACTACTAGAACAAGGGGGGATACTAGAACAAGGGGGACGCCTACGAATTGTTTGAGCGTGGGAACTGTCATTGAGTGCTGTCCGCTAGCTTTGCACATTGTATAAATTCTTCTGTGTTCGTTGGCAAAACTCACAAATTTTACATTTGAGGATCGTTTAGGTACCCTTGTTCTCTGAATCCTTTGAATGAATTAACCCTCGATTTCTAGGTATTTCCTACTGACCAGCAACTACTTTATCTTCGGAGAAAGTCTAATTGATTACTGGGCCATTTTGCTGCGAAAAGACGTAGGAATTTTGATATTACTGAATACTGCCGTGTAGTTCAATGTATCTTATTGCAGAATTTTCTCCATTTTCTCAACAGTTATCACCGACTGATCAGTTTTGGACTGTACTGTGTTGGATTTGTATGGTTCGTTCTTTCGCTAAGGAAGGGCTACTATATGCGGCAGTTCTCTCTGGTGAGGTTTATCCTGTTTTTCGCCTGTTTCAATACATTTTACAATGAGCACAACTTTGTTGTGTACGCTTGTCAGTTTGTTGATCATCGACTTTAGTTCGCCTGGACTCATATCACACTGCTGTTGATCGTCTGCCAGTCGTTCTTCATTATCCAAAACATATTCCAAGGGACCATTTGGTACGATTTCTCACACTTCGTTAAATATTATTTTTGTAACAGAGACTAGTTTCTGGAGTCTGAAGTATGAGCCGCCCTTCCTTTTGAGCTCTGGGAACATTCCTGTAAGCAAAATTCCCTTTCTACTCTCTCTTATATTGGTTCGTCCCATAGGTATTGGCGTTTTTTCTCACTCGCAATGTCGCGCTAAAGATGAAAAATTCCGCCACTGAGTTTTATATTGCTCTGCAGAGAAATCCTTACTTTAAACAAGGGTATTCTTAGTTTTCTCTTTTGTTTCCACTAATATTTAAGCGCTCAAACTCGAGTGTCAGGTCGACGAAATTGAGCATTTTCGACAGCCTCTCTTTTTACCTCTAATTAGAAACCTAAAATCGCATAGGCCCGGTAGCTAAGTATGGCCAAGAGGCTGTCTTTTAGGAATGCTTGCAACGCTTGAGGTTATTGGCAGATTTCAATTTCGGCTTCACGAGCTTGCATCGAACCTAATGTCCTAATGAGTCCAACTGAGAGCTTACTGAATTGCCTTATTCACGGATGTTCATGCCAAACAACGAGAAACGTTTAGAGGTCATCATAATATTTCTTTATCATAATCAAGCATCACGCCTAGTTGATGGTAGACGTTCGTTAGTGGGTAGGTTCTGCAGGTAGTAGAGTCCTCAAGAGGGTCCCCATGCGACACACATTTGCAAGGTCCGAAGTCCCACCTCTTGATCGCTTGAATCTCAAGCTGTCTTAAGATGCATCTTTCCTTGGTCGCATATAAAACAAGTTTTGAGCTTCTTCCGTACGAGAGCCGAGATAAAGTGGAAGAAGTTGTTGTCGAAAACTCACATTAGTGTCGACCCGACAATCCACTTCTGTGAATAAAAATCGACATAAATCAGCAAACAATAGGAAGACAACCATACTGCCTTATAGAGCAGAGAGTTATCTATCAGTTGGTATAGAACGGAACAATTGTCATTTTCCAAAAATATGTGCGAGGAAAAAAACGCCAATACTTATGGGCCAACCCACTATTTTGAGCCTGTTGACCCCTCACTGCACCACTCTGCGGAATTTAGAGGCGGTCGTTTGGCGCGATCATGTTGCCGCTTACGTGTTTTGGCAGGTTAGTGCCACGAAGTTGATTTTCGTCCGAAATTACTGAGCTCTGATAATTTGAGATCGATAACCCACATAAAGCTGATAGTGATGGCTTTGATGTCCATGTTTCTCGGCCACGTTACTAATGATCACTCAGAGATATGCGCTACAGTGGAATTTCGGACTTACATAGACTCAACTGTGAGTCGGCTTGCCTGGTAAGGTGATCATTAGGAACCTATCCGAGAACCATGGACACCGATGCCATCACTAACAGCTTTATGTGGGTTATCGATCTCAAATTATCAGAGCTCAGTAATTTGGACGAAAATCAACTTCGTGGCACGAACCTGCCAAAACACGTAAACAGCAACGTAATCGCACCAAACGACCGCCTCTCGTGTAACGCTGGCGCACGCTGGTTACGCAGTAGAGCTAGATCGATATCTATCCTTTCCTTGGTGCGCTAGCGTTACGCTAGCGTACGCTGGTGACGCTGGCGAACGCTAGATCGATATCTATCCTTTCCTTGTCACTGCCGCTGCCGAACGCTGGAAAGGTAGCGTACGCTGCCGCAAAGTATGAACGCATCCTAAGAGCGGCCCCGGTGGAGTAGTGGGTAGCGCACTCGCCCGGTCAGCGGAAGACGCGGTTTCGAGAACTGCCTGGTATCTGACGCTCACTCATAAGTCAGCACACTTGTAATGATTTTTTTACTGTTCATTTTATTTTTCTATTTTTATTAGACATTTGGCAATCATACACCAGACAGTGATATCATGTCTGGCCATATCACATTTATATAATAGCGCAAGATTTTAAGGTTCCTAGTCCCAGTTGCAATGATCATCTGCTGTGATGTAATGTCCTACATGTTCGGTTTCTTTTTCGGAAAGACACCGCTCATCAAATTATCACCGAAGAAGACGTGGGAAGGATTTATTGGAGGTGCTGTCAGTACCGTCGTATTCGGAATTATGGTAAGTTATGAGACAGATTACTTGAGACTGGAAGGTGCCGTCGTGAAACGGCCGGTTTGGCTATGTGTAGCATATGTTATCGAACAGTGCACGAAGGTGACTGGTATTTTCGCGACCGCATACAAAATTGACGAGAATTGCGTGTGCTGTGTAAATGGTATTCGAATATCTGGAAACTCGATTCTGAAAATGTGCTTTAGCTCTCCTACTTCCTCTACAATCGACCATTCTTCGTTTGCCCAGTTGAAGACTACTACATTGATAATACAAACTGTACAATTCCGTCGTCATTCCAAATGCAACCGTATTCTCTTCCACGACCATTTTCATGGATTTTCAAAGTTCTCAAGTTAGTAACTCCTATTTTGCTGCTAATTTATTGGACGTTTATCCATGTTCAGGTCGGTTTACATTGTTTTCTGTTTACAGACGTGACCCGCATGTGTACCTCTTTCCATTCCTTGGTCACGCTATAGTTATGGCGTTGTTCGCGAGTATTCTCGGTCCGTTCGGAGGATTCTTCGCGAGCGGATTCAAAAGAGCCTTCAAAATCAAGGTAAGCGTTCGAGTACCTGAGATTGAGCAGAGAGCTGGTTTTCTACCACTTTGTCGTGATCGCGACTTTTTACGTCCCACTTTTTTGTCGTTCTATTTATGCAGTTGGCTTAGGAGTGGATGAGCGCACTATTGGAGAATCTAGTTTTTCAAGGTAAAGGAAGGAATGGGTGAACTAAAACTTCGCAGTTTTAAGCTTACCTCCACCTCTACAGCTGTCGTATTTTTTGCTCTTCGCGTGTTTATTCAAGTTCCACTGCTTCATATACACCGCAATACTTTCTCTACAGGCATCCCTTACTCTTGCGGCTTTTGAATCGTATTCCGCTTCCGGAGAAGCGCTGTACACCCACCTGCGATGGGTTCTTGCTATAGGCGAACGGGCTGGACCAATCCTGCGGCGTGTTGCGTGCCTGTGGCGTGATGTGCGGGTAAAGTCATAAAATAGCATCCACATATCGTTAGCTGCCAACCTCATTTCCACGCATTTTTAGCAGCGGAAGTAAAGGTTTTCTACAACCGCGAACCCATTCACTTCGGATTGGCAAGTGTGGTACTCGGGGGAGGGGCGTGCAGCGTACTCTCTAGCGTGAGTGCTAGGGCTACGCTGTCTAAACTATTGATAAGAGAGAAGCGTCCCTCAATAGTGCGATGTACAGATATGCAACTGATGTCGTCCTAATTAGTCGGGGCGGTTCTAGAACAAATAGCGGCAGAAAACGTCATGCTGAGTCCACCCATGGCGTTTTCTGCCGCTGTTTGTTTTCTTCCTGAAACCATCACGGATTCCTCGCCTCCCTACAGCGCTCCCACTGATTGCGACGATATCAGGCGCAGTTCGGCTTGGTGGGGGCACCGAATTGTACTCGACCAAGCTTGGGTAGACCGCCTAGTGAAGAATTGTAAGTTTCTGTGACCAGTCGCACAATTTCGCAGTTTCGCAAGAATTTACTGCTCCCACTCAAAAGAGACCAGTCATTTAGCATGATCTAACAAAAGGGAATAGCACAAGTGCACAATGCTCCCACTAAGCCGAACAGCGTCTAATCAATTGCTAATATTTTTATTCTATGTTCCTCAAGAAGCAACAAACATTATCATGATTCTTCTACTTTTTTTTCCTAGGACTTTGGTGATGTAATTCCTGGCCACGGAGGGCTGATGGACCGGTTCGACTGTCAGCTTCTCATGGGTACATTTGTCAGTGTGTACATTCACACTTTCATTAGGTGAGTTACCCTGATTCACTTGATTTCGGTTGATTTTTGTCACTGTTGCTTTTCCAGACTACCAAATCCAGCTAAACACTGTTGCTTTTCCAGAGTACCAAATCCGGCTAAATTGGTCACCCAGATCCTGTGGCTGCAACCAGAAGATCAGATTACCGTATTCAACTCATTAAAACATGAACTTATTCAGTCCGGATTGTTACAGCCGTCTTGAGGCTGAGGCCTGTATTGATTTGCCAAGAGATCTCGTCAACATTACCCTAATTAGTCTCTGGAGACTTGTATCATTATAAATTGTGTTAAATCTCCTTTCCATGCTGTTCTACTCAGTTGGTAATGATATTACGTACGTCGACGCATGGCTGCTTATTATTGAGGGAAGTTATTGATTCCATGTTGAACATTTTTGTTTCTACTTATTGTAGACATTAAAGCTGTAATCTTTCATGAGAAAACCTGTGTTTTGTTGTTTCTTCTATTAGGTTGCTTTAATTAAGATTTCTGGGCGCAGTTTGGCCACGCGGGGGAGGGGGGGGGTCGGCTTTTTCGCTGCTTCGCTAGTTCCGGTTTACAGGTCCTGCTCTGGCAATACCTGTCAGCCCTTTTAGAGCTGGAACAGCCTGGTCGACCACCACTATCTCATTGCTTTACAAGAGTTGAGGAGTATTCATTACAGGAATTGACAGCGGTTTCTAGCAGCTTCCGCCGGTCATTTTGTAGGTTAACAAGGTTTCACAGGTCTCCTCCTGATGGCTTAACAGGTCGATGGGAAGTAGCAAAAGAGCAAAATGCCTCTTTCCCCCACCCCTCCCTCCGCCGAACTGCGCTGAGTTCTCCACGAAAAATGTGGTTTTATATAGTTGTGTGCGTGCTGTGTCCCTGTCTGATTGTTGTTACTTCCATTTATGTGATCGTTTTCTTTGTAAGTTGTCTTAGTAATCTCGGTCGTTTTTAGAGAAGCTTAGTTGAGTTTGTTGGTCTTCCTAGGATGACGGTGATTCATTGTACATAAAAAATACCAATATAGTGACGCCTAGTGCACGTTAATGAATATTTTGCAGCAAATTCTTTCTTTGTAAAACTGTTTGAAACACACGGAGTTACCTCGTCTCAGTAACGTCATGAAAGGGCGTAATTAAAGTCAGTTTCTAGAGCTAGGCAATGAGTTTGAGTGAAGCACAAGCGTACCTGGATCAGGTACGTGCTATGATTTTACGACACTTTTCGGTAAACTCACCCCACCCGAAGTGGCCGAATAAGGGATGGCAAATGCCGCCTGTATGTGGCCGATGTCTCTCAATTTTAGCGCCATCTTTACCCTTTTTTTACTGATACGCCTGTCCCGGGGATTGAGGGGGGTGGTTGCATGCTTCATTTATAGAGTCGCTGTCCCTGAAAACCATAAGCACTAGGGCGCCGGCTAGGCGTCCTACTGCTTATGGTCTTCAGGCACAGCGACTATACAGGCAGTAAGCAGGGTTTGGAGTGAGCCAAGGCAGATTTCTTACTAATTGTAGCGGGCTCAGGATGAGATCATTGTAGAAAAAAGGCCGCCGTGGCTGCGCTTCCAACCGCCCCGCGTCGCACGCCCAATCGTTTGCATGGATCACCACCTTAAATGCGTTCGTGGGATATTTCTATTTGAGGCAATTGTCATCCTGTCGTAGCCTGCACAAAGACATGACCTGTCTATTTTTCCTCATCTCACCAGAAGTGCAGCCGCCGACGTCTAAATAAAATGTGCAGCCAAGCCCTCTGCATCTCCAGGATGACCAGGATGTGGTGTTACATGTTTTGTACAATGAGCAATAGTGCGTGTCATGAAATGTCACTACGACACAGTGTTCAAGGATACTGTATAAATGTGGGAGTATCTGAGGAAGACTCTTGTATTCTTTTCTCAATTATATTGGGGTCTCTGTTTTCCGGGTGATCCGCCCTCCTACTTATTTTGCAAGTCTTCGAAGTGGGTATTCCCTTTCTTGGAACCATCAGTGTGCTCGTTATCGTCCAATACTCCTCTGCGTCCCCGGAGAAGGCTATGAAGAAGGGTTGCGTTTACCTCAGAAAAC